TGCCGTGTTGCTGTTTGTGCTCTGTCCAATCTCGTTCAGTTCATGTTCTGCGAGTGTTGCCTCAATTGTTCGTCGAATAAATTATCTTGTATCCTCGCCCTCTACACATATCCCCTCTTGTGTGGTCAATTAACACTGGAATCATTCTCATTTTCTTTCCTGTGCATTAATCTACTCCCAGAACCTTTTTTACTGCATTCCTATCATTTTGATTTACTTCCATCATCCACTGCACTCCAGTTCTACCTGTCTTGGCGTGGATTATAGCAGACGGTTCTCCCTCTCTTTCCTGAAACGTATTCAATTTCTATGCTACCTCAGCGGGTGTGTCCCCCCTTCGCCCATCTGTGCTCCCTGGAGGCCTCCTGTCACCCTGCTATGGCCGCCTCGACTTCACTGTCCCACCAACCTTTTGGTGTGTGTTTCCCTCTCATTCTTCCTCTTTATTTGATTTTGAAGGTCCCTGCCTGACGCCATCACCAGGTTGCCCATCACAGACAGAGACGAGGTGACACAGCTCTGCAAGGCAGCAGCCAAACACCTCTAAACCAACACCCACGAATGTCTTGCACACCTCATTATACGCCACCCACCTCACTTTTCACCCTCTGTGGGACGATGATGATGGGATGGTGAATTCACCATTCCATCATCATCGTCCCACACTTCTTGAGCCAAGAAGCCTCGCATCGTCATCATCGTCTAGCTGGCCACCGAGGCACATATGTGTACGGGCGGAAACGCCTTCTATGCGACCTGTACTTAAATGTACAAATAAATATCTATCTATCTATCTAACTCACTTTTAAAATTGTTTACTAAATCGTCATATGTGCATTCTCTCTCCAGTTGTCTGGATACTATAGTCTCAAATCGTTCTGATACTTCTTCTAGTCGAGCATCGTTTAGGGTCATTATACTTTCTCGTTCAAGAATTTGTTTCTCTGGTTCTGCTTTACCAAACTTCATTTTAAGTCGCTTAGAGTCATTGCTAAGCCGTTCGTTCCTTTCTAATTTATTTCAATGTGTCCTAATCTGTTATAGAATTTGCTAGACGTTAGTCATGTCTTCTTTTTGATTGAGACAGTGGTGGTGTGTCTCGGCGGTTTAGAGGCCCAAATCGAAAGTATTAAAAATGGTAGCCACTTCTCATTTTGTACATACTCCTCCCCTTTTTTTCCGGTTAAATTAGCCGATTCTCTCCCCCCCCCCCCCCTTCCACCGTTCTATTATTTTAGTGGTCTGTCCCGGCAAACTTTAAAAAAGGTTGTTTTCAGGCCGAAACCCCTTCTCCTCTGTAAAATGTGTAATATTTCTTGAACACATTTTCGAAGCCGCCAAAAGGTGTAACAACACCTCTCTCACACGCTCAGTAGGTATATGAAAACATTACATGCATTGCAATAACAATATCGCGCTTTGAAAAGATGCATCTGGTATAAAACACCTTCCAAACAGGAATATAGGTGTTTTGAAGTTTACCGTGTAGGGTTTTATTTCCAAAGGAATAGTAAAAAGCGAGGTTCGATGCACATTTCTTTTTTTTAATTATTATCTAGCGTAAGCACGTAGGATGCTCGCAAGCTGTTTATGTTTAGAAGCATCAAATGGAAATATTGTACGAGAAACGTGGTCACCTTTCTTCTATTCGCTTTCACGTTGGCTCGTCCGCTTCCGCGACATTTCGGCAGTTTCAGATTCCTAACCGAAGCTACTTTACAAAGCTTCTCTATCGGACGCTAAGCTCTCATCCTCTGAATTCAGTTTTCAGAAGAGTTTAACTCTGAATTGTAACAGCCGGCGCTTCCACCGCTACTACCGCCGGACCAGCCAACAGGCATATCGACCATCGCGCGCTTATCACGTGCGAGGACCGTCTAATTTCAAGAGCATAAATAGCCCCGGCAAATCGAAAGACTGTGCGAATATAACGTTTATCGGTGATTTTTATCGCTTGTTTTCGGGCCTACTTTTACGGCTTCTTATCTTGACCGTCAGGAGCTGTGAATATTTGATTCCCTCGAGAAACCGCGAGAGCGAAACCACCGTCATAGCTTTTTGCTCTAGCCGCTTAGTACTGCCGATTTCGCTGGAGTCACCTATGGACGCTTTGCAGCAGCTCTGCATGAGCGCCGCCTTAGCCGACCTTCAGTTTTTGTTTCCTCCTATTCTGTTTACTTCACTTCGTCATAACCACATCACGACCGGTATTATCGCTCATTTAGGTACTACTGTGTCCTCCCCAGCATAGGCCTTTTTGGAGGCTCGCCAACTTTTGCTTCAGTGGCTTGGCATCTCGGTAAGACAAGAGAAGGTGAGCCACGGAAGCTGTGCTCTGGTGCGTGTGTAAAGCATCTATAGTTCGCCAAAGGCATAACAAATAGCAACACCTCCCGCTGTGTGCATGGTTTCGCGTTTAGGCGGGAACCTCGAATGAGTAATCGCCGCCCTACAAATACGGCGACGACCGTCCAAGGTTTAGTACGAGAAAATGTAATGCCTACAAAAAAAACGGCTCTTTCTTTTATTCTGTACATTTGTTTTATTTTTAGCTAAAATAAACATTAAACTTACCTTAATCGGAAGGATAAAAAGACAGAGAAGAGAGACGACCACCCTTTCAAGAAGAGTCAATCACGCGCGCTTGCAGAGATTGCACTTTAAAAGTTCCACACCTATCTTCTAATTAAAGGGATACTACAACGAAATTTCGGCGCTCATTTTTTGGTCTATGTGTGTTCAAAAGAGCAGTATCACATGGAACATACCAATACCTTGTTAAAAAAGTCTCGAAAAGGAATTTTAAAACGAATTAAACGATTAGCAAAGAGCACCTGGTGGATGTCGCTAACGCCTCGTTTGTAATGCTCGTCTAGGAACCTTGACAGCTAGTGACGGACGTTGTCTCGTCTCCGGCCACGACGAGAGAAGGGGGGAAGGAGGAACTCCCCTCTTTCCGAGAATGCCTTTTGTGTGTCGCAGAAGTCGCTATTGTCCCCCTAGAAGATTATAGAAGATTAACCCGTCACTTAAAATTCGTACAAAAGCAGCCGCTTCGGTGGCTGGAACGACTAGGCCATCCTCTCGACGTCAGCCTCGCCGTAGCTTTGCTCGTCTTGAGACGACCTACGTCACGATTGCGTTGGATGTCACGTGCTCTAAGCTGGGCCTTCTCCGAGCGCTTGCCAGAGTGGGCCGTTTATAACGAAAAATACAGCCACCAGGATCAAAATGCAAACGTGCGATTGTCATTTACGGATATTGTGGATCATATTCAACCTATTTTTGAACACGACGGGAATATTTCAAATTTCGTTGACGTATCCCTTTAAAGCCTGACTATTATCCAGTCGCTTGGGAAACTTCGATGCAACTGAGTGAGAATAACGACCGAAATTATAGTTCTATTCCGCCAAGATATTCAATGTATCAATTACATCATCCTACTCATGTCCTCACGGCCAATAAAAGTAAAAATAAGGTATTTTAGCAATGATTGTATCCACACGATCCAAAACATTGATCATAACACCCTGCCACAAAACACCCAAAAACAAACAGGCCACTGGACCTCTCAAAATTATTCGAGAGGTCTAATAAACCATGTCGTCATTGCGACACTATTCGCGACTCCAGCGAACTGTAGAGGGCGCGCTGCTCATGCAAAATGTCGGACGAAAGGAGGTCGTTTTCGTCGTTCACCACGCGGACTGCCATAAATTCCTGCCTACAGCGTAAAATCAGCGTTACATTTGAAAGTAAAGTGATTTTTCGACGGTAGAAACATTCTTCTTGTCAGTGCGTAGGAATGACACGGCGGAATCATAAAAATAATCACTGGAAACGATGTTTGTTTTTATGCTGCCTACGAGAACCAAGCAGCGATAGCAGACGACAGAGTCGAAACGACCTCCTCTCCTGAGCTTCTCGACGCTGCCACTACGCGGCGTCGATTTCGCTGGAGTCACGAATGCTCACCACAATGCACGAACAGCAGGGTTGACTAACCAGTTTGTCCACGCTCTTTTCTTTTTTTTTTTCTTAGTGCGCAAAAAAAAAGCTTTTTTTTTTATCGGCATTTTGTAACCGGAAATTTAGGAATCAAAAAGTTTCCAAGTCACAAAATTTTCAAGATGAAAGTTCACTAGGTCGCTTGCGTGTCATGTTTTATGTTATTTTTATCCTTTTGTTGTTTCATTGCCCTACGCCCACGAATAGTAAGTATGATAAATTCAGTGCTTACAAAACTCGTTAGTGAAACGTTTAATTGGGCTCCGTTCACTGGATTAGTCATACCGTGCTTTTTACGGTTGTATACCCTGTGGTAATAATAACTTTAAGAGTAAGCCTCTTTATATTGCGCAGCGTTCATGTTATTTTGACCGAAATAATATTCCGACGTCGAAAGCACTTATTCTATGCAAGCTCCAATAGATAAAAAAAAAAAAAAAACGTCGTTACAGGAGAGGTTTCATATCGCCTCTGGACTGACCCAAAGAACCATAGCCAAGATCACAGGGACTTGGTCCTGCTGACAACAGCCATACTCCGGTTCACCCTACGAGAGATCGCAGACGGCACTACAATTCATTTAAGCCAATCGATTGCCATATGAGTGTCACGTGACCTTCGGGAAGGCAGCAGCGACGTGCGTCGCTCAGCGCCAGATTGGCGGGGTCGTCTCGTAGCGTTCGCTGCGCTCCATCGTAATTGAAACGGTGCATAGCAGGACTGTTCTCAGCGTCAACGACCTCGAGGTTCCTGGCAATGCACCTTCAGGTATCAATAGAACTTGTTGACACTATACTCATATCCGGACCGTTTACCTCTCGATGGCGTATTTCGAGGCGCAAACACTTCCTCTCTCCGATAAGGGATGACAGAAAGCCAGCCGCCCGCACGAGTGCCCCATACCCTGCCGTCGTCGATAGCGACTTCCGTTTACCTTCTTCGTTCCACTTGAAAGTAGCGGCACCTTTGCACTCGGTATAAAGCGAGATTCGTCACGAGACACGACGCTCATACGCTGTCCCGTCTTCAACCATGTCTAGGCTGAACGACCATAACCCGGAGAGCGGCAGGCCTACGCTGGCCTACTGGAACACCAGGGGTCTGGCGCAGAGCATCCGCAACCTACTCATCTACAAAGGCGTCGAGTTTCATGACAGGCGCTTTGAGTTCGGCCAGCCTCCGGACTTCAGGAACAAGGAGTGGCTCAAGGAGAAGTTCACTCTGGGTCTCACGTTCCCCAACTTACCGTACTACATCGACGGCAACGTGAAGCTGACGCAGAGCCTGGCAATCTTGCGGCACCTAGCCAGGAAGTACGACCTCGACGGAAGGTACATTCTTTATTTTGTATTTCTGATGGTGTTTGGAGAGCAAAATTAACGTCGCTTTTGTCGCTCGCTTCATTCGCGCTTTTCAGCGAGTACGCTAAGAAAATGCCGGGATTGGCTTGTGCTCGTCGGTGGGGACCGTTTGCCGAGTGTGTTAGCACACCGCAGCTTGAACCACGAGGAGCAAAAGCTCGCGATGAGGAACCAAAAGGCCCAGCGTTCAATTTCTACCCCTGCTCGTTTCCATCTAAACGAGTATGGGGGTTATCCATGACTATTCTCATCCACAACGGAGACACCAGACGCCCACTAGGGCTGACTAGCTTCCCGTGATCTAAACAGACAAAAACACAATTACTTTACTTATGCCCCTCGACTTATTTTAATGTTCAAATATCCCTAAGGTCTGTTGCGACTTAAGTCTTCTGGGTAAGGCTCCCTAAGATGACGCTGATCGTTCAGTACCCACTGCCCAGTGAACTCAGGTGGGTCGGGAATTCGACCAAGATTTGTTTTTAGCGAACAATAGTCTAGACAAACGACTGATGACAGACGCTAGCACCTCTTTGTGGCGTCAAAAAAATGTCGTTCGCCGAGAGGTTTTCGATGTTGCTTTTCTCTGAGAAACCAGAGGCAGTTCCTGTCCTGCAGTTCTTAAGCTAACGTTGATTGTCATTTCTGTCACAGCAATTTGTCTTGGAAGTGAATGTGAACAAAAGGTTAGTAGCAAACGAGTCAGAAACGTTCCTTAATATTCGATGCTACGTTAAATAAATATAAGTGTTCCCCCGTAGACATGGTTCATAACCTTTTGTGGTTCGGTTAATATAAACTAACTTCTGTTAACAAGCCGAAACTGTATTTTGTTGGCTTCTTCGCTTGCATAAGGAAGTGCACGTCATTTCTCCGATGTTCTGTGAACCGGTTGTTAATTTATTTCTCTTTTGAAGACGAATCCTTTTAGGAACTGAGCAAATGGCTTTCGGTCTCAATCTTTTCTCAAAAAAGTTGCACGCACGTGTGTGCTCTCTGTTATCTAACGACAGTTTGCGACCCATTATTTGATGAACACAAAGCACACCTTCCTCCCTCTCACCAATGACTGGGAGGAGCAGGGTCACTTTTTGCTTTTTGGTCGTCTTGAACAATCTGAATGACCTTATTGTGGCATTTGGCAGGCTATTCCGAAAACATTTTCTGGGAACTGTAGTCCTCAAAAATAGGTTCCATTATTTTTAGTGCGGTTGTTATACAAAAAAGGTTAACTTCGCAAAAAAATTGATTGTTTTTTTTCTCTCAACACCGATATATTGCTTTATATTTTGCGTGTTAATGTGCATTATTATTTTGAATATTTGGTACGTTCATGTTGTATCCCTGCTGCTGTGGGAGAGGCAGAGGCATGTCAAGCAACACCCGAATCGTTTTTTTCTCTGTCTCCCCTTCCTAAGTAAAAAATAAAAATGTATACAGAAATGTTTGAATTTAGGAAATTCTCTATGTTCAGAAGTGTTTTTATATATACCCAGCTCCCACGAGAACCAAATACAGGCGTCAAAGGGGCCTGTCGTGGCTGGTGAATAAAACATGTTATCGTTTAAGTGCCCTGATGGGGGCGTATAAACGGTATAGCCTACGTGTAACTGAAATTGTGGTGGCACAGTGAAGATGTACAGGTGGTATAAACTAATGATTTTCTTTTCATTTAGACGCTCAGATTCTCAAGTTTAATCTTGGGTGTAAACTTCAAACATTTCAAGTTTGCATACGCAGAAGGATTTAGCATAATATTTACAGCTCCAGAGAAATAGACAAAGTAAATTATTGACGGCAGTTTTCACTGAACCTTAGGCATTACTTTAGAGACATAAAATTTACCAATGTCCCACCCTGTGAAGTTTCCTCAGAATACCAACGGCGATGCGGCTTGTCCTGTGGCTAGAGGGACCACGGATAACTCAACCCTTAAGAGATAAAAAGATGCATAGTAAAATTATTTTCCCCAAGGTTTAATATTTTAGATATTAGGTTTCATATTGTGTTCACTTTATGACGTGAATACATTTTTTTTCTGCCCAGTTTCGTACTTTGTGTAACTGTGAATCGCGAATAATTTCTGTTGTTGTTGTTGTTGTCTTTCTTTTTTTTCTTTTTTGCACGTGCAAGGACGGAAGAAGAGACCACGGAACTGGACATGTGTGAGCAGCAGGCAAGAGACCTGATCGTGGGCTTGGTAATGACAGGATACAGTCCAAACTTTGAGGATGCACGCAAGAAGTTCGAAGAAAATTTGATCAACGTGCTAGAACTCTGGGCCAACCACCTGCAAGGGCGCAAGTGGACCTTGGGCGACCGTCTGACCTATGTCGACTTCTTGCTCTACGAGGCCCTGGACTGGAACTACGAGCTCCATCCCGACGCATTCGAGATCCACCCCGAACTCCTAGATTTCCTCAAGAACTTCGAAGAACTTCCAAACATCAAAGAGCACATGACGACAGAAAACTATCGCAAGTGGCCGATAACAAGTCCCATGTGCCGGTGGGGATACAGAAAGGCCTAGTTTTTGTACTTCACATATCACGTTGTTTTTCGCAACCAAATCAGTTTTATAAGTGCATAAATATTTTCGGACATAAATTTGCTCACCCAAAAGTTGTGACCAAACTGTGGTAATATTTCCCTAGGGTGATTGAATAACGGTACCTAGGCAGCACGCCAGAGAAACGCTTAATAAGGTACAAGCTCGGCAATCCTATGGGGTCTAACATGGGCCAATTGCGGTTTTTGCTCCAAGGCTTTAGTTAGTGGCAGTGTGCTTTTTTTTTTTTTGCCTTTTTGTGGCTCGTCCCTAACTCGCCCAACAATTGCCAAAGTGCCAGATTTTAAAGACAGAAATGCCACCGAAAGGCCAGCAGTAAAACCTAACTTTGGCACTTGTCCGGCGAATTAGGTAGGGCCAAGGCATCCAGACTCTGGCCAAAGAAGGTCAAGTTTGGCTCAACCAATTAGCTCTTTCGGGCTGTTTAAAGGGGTACTCCACAGGTTTTATGAGCTACCTCAACTAACTATATTTTCCGACTCCCCGGCTTTTACCCTTTCGAGTATGCTATTTAGTATCGCGAAATTCATAATAGTTATTGTGAAATCAGCAACTGAAAATGATGCCAAAACTAACATTCAAATATACCCGCTCTGTTCAGCGCGGTGACGTCAGTGGCAGGCAGGCCTGTCGGTCGAGCAAGCAGTCTAAAAAATAGAACATGTCAATCATTTATTCCGTGCTGAAGCGCGGGTACTGGAACGAGCTTCCAAAGCGTTCATTTGACACCACGAAACTGTTTCGAATCAGTTGGGCACAAATTCTACTGTCCAAAAAGTGAACCCCAACCCTCCACTGAGGTCACTTTTTTGTTGTTGACAGTGGAAACTTTCAGTTTGAAAAATGCGGTGAGGACCCAAAATTGTAAATTCAATACCCTCGTAAAAACACAATATTTTGACTTAATACTTGGGATAGTATTTTAGCGATGTTTGTTGGTGAGCTTAGCAAAATTTCATGCAAATCGGAGACAAATAAAAAAAAGCCTGTGAAGTACCCTTTTAAGGCCCCTAAATTTTCACACAAAAAACAATATTTGGCTTGAAAACTGTGCTACTGGGTTGCCAGCAGACTTGTACCGTACGCATTACAAGTATTCAAATTACTTGTAATCGATTACTTTTTGGAGTAATTTTGTAATCAGTCGATTACTTTTATTAGGCAGTAATCACAAGAGTAATCTGATTACTTTTTGAAGTAATAGAATTACTTGTAACCGTTACAATTTGCCCACGGGACCCCCCCCCCCCCCCCCCCCCCGGAACACGCCTTTTTTTATGAAAGGACAAAAATTAATTTTTGTCCTTTCATAAAAAGAAAGATTTTTGCGGAGCTGTAGGAAACGAGGTCAATCTCTTTCTATCTACAGTTTCTGTGGAATGTCCGTTTTTTTTGTTTTTTTTCGAGCTGGGACTGGGAGTGGGAAGCCCCAGGAAAGCCACAGTGCATGACAAAGGCCATTCAGGGCGATGTTTGAGGATGCAGAATGTAGCTTTCTGAGTCCTTCGTTCAAACTAGCCTCCTCACGCACGCACACACAGAAATAAAAAATAAAAAAAATCCTGCTTAGGGTACTTACACGCAGCCCCGGCCTAGGAGAACCAGAACCGAAGAATGCCTAAAGCGGATGCAAAATATAACAAAGGCAGTTGAAACATTTTCCCTACGTGGTCTTTGTGACAAGCAATGTTTCGAGTTGAGAAGTGGTCGGGGCGATCTTTTCCGCTAATGGATACTACACATGATCCGTTTCAAATCCTGGAGCTGCTGCTCTTTTGTATAACATGCGAGCTCATCCACATGCGAATAATAAAATGAGCGACGCAAACTTTGAGCGACAACCCTTGCTCAAACTTGACAAGATCTAGAACCCCCTCCGCCCCCCCCCCCCCCCCCCCACACACACACACACTGGCGAACGCCCAAATCATTAAACGTCTTCAAACGAATTCTATGCTTGTGTCCGCACTGTGAAGGTGCAACGACCACGAAGAGGGAGTCAGTTTTTCTTCTTCAATACTTGTGCAAATGCAATATAGCAAATGCAAATGCAGTGCAATATAGGTCGGAAGTAGTTCATTGTTATGAGCGCTAACGATGTGTCTTCACACAATAAAGTAATCGGAAAAGTAACGATTACTTCCTTAAGTAATGTCCAATTACTTTTGCCGTCGAGTAATCAAGTAATCTAATCAAATACTTTTTAGCCAAGAGTAATAGTAATTTTAATCGATTACTTTTTTTTAGTAACGTGTACAAGACTGGTTGCCAGGTTACGTGACCGCCACTTGGCAACTGGAGATTATGGTACAAATTGATGTCGAAACATTAATATTTTTCGTATTTAAATGACTATTGTCCTAGAGATAGTGAAGACACCCGTGGATAACTCGATCATAAACTATTAGGAAATTTCCTACTTTTTGCAGAAAAAGCATGTTGTCGATGAGCATGTTGTTGATGAGTATTGATGAGTATAACAGGCGAAACACTCGACTCAAAAGAAAGCTTTCGTAGATACGCTGCCACTGAGCATGCACACCGCCAGCTTTGTCTGCAGAATTCCAGGGATCATTCCCGGAGGCCGCAAGCCAGCGGGATGGCGGCTGTCGTCACAGCTTTCGGTACCTTGTCAGCTTACAGGTGAACGGAATGCACCTACACTGTTTCTCTTAAATACAATATTTTATTTTTCAAGGACTACAATAATACGGGCGCATGAGAAATGAAAAGTGTTGCAAAATATTTTTGAACAATATCGAAACTATTTATATTATTTTCCTGATACGCGTACGGAAAAAGTAATGTGAAAGTAATTTGTAACGTAACAAGTAAAGTAATCTGTAACTTTTCAGCGAAAGTAATTTGTAATGATACTCCACTACATTTGGAGCTCGGTAATTTGTAATTGTAATCCATTACATTTTTTTTCAAGTTGCGAGCACAAGTTTGCCTACATGTAGGAGAGGGAGCAAGAGAAAATGTAGAGAGAGGTTGTAATTTAATGGCAGATGCTTCCCGAAGCTGCTTAGCCAATTAATCGTAAGTGGGCATGCGTTGCGTTGTAATGGGTCAAGGAGAAAAGTGGGTGGTGGGAAGAAGAAAACGACCTTGACAGCAGTCCAGCTTTTTCAGACCTCCGCATTTTTGGTTCTTTCTCACTCAATCTTCGTCATCCCTACATCCCCAACTAACCAAGAGGCCTCTACAACGTCTTCCGCCTCGTTCCGGAGTGGGTAACCACTTCGGCCGGCGGCCGATCATGCCTAACGCCAACCAAGACGACGCTGACCAGAACACGGATCACAACAGCAACTTGAGCCCTAACATCGAAGCCACCATTTGTAAGATTCCTCCAACTACAGACAATTACTCAATCATAATGGACGCCCAGGATTCTCCGGACGGCGAGATTCTGAACTCGGATGCTGCTCTTGACGACGGCGGTGAATGGTATCCAGTCCGTGCTCCCCGAAAACGTCGGTACAAGGAAACATCCAGTCAAGACTCGGAAAAGGACGCCCCCCGCACCGAAAGCCTTACTGTGATATTTGTGCCAACAAGAGGTGACCGCATCAGCAGTCTGGGCAGCCTAAAGCTGTCAGACGGTTTAGATCTTCTGTGCCCCGAGTGCATTGTCCAAATCAGACCAAATGAGCGTCTGAACTTAATTGCCGTGGATGTGAGAAATGGATTCACCACAAGAGCACTGCTCAAACGCACACGGCTCTGCGGACTTCCAGTGAAGGCGTACGAGGGCCTTGCAGGTCCCACAATCGAAGGTGTGATCAAGAACGTCGACGTAGCACTTCCTGAAACAAAAATTGCTGGACGACTGCGGTCTGATACGGAGATCGCTCGAGTACGTCGTTTCGGCTCCTCTGAGTGCGTATGGATCACCTTTCGTGGAAGCAAGCTTCCAAGCCATGTTCTTCTTGGGCGAGTCCGGCATCCACTGATGGAATTCCACCACCAACCGACTCAATGCTACCGGTGTGGAAGCTTCGGACACTGCGCTGTCACGTGCAAGCGTTCCGTTGCTTGCAGCCGCTGCGGTGAGAAGCATCCAACAAGTGACGAAAAACACGAAACAGAAATGCACCTCCACGACTATCAAATGCGTGAACTGCGGAGGACAGCATGGGGCAACATCCCCAAAATGCCAGAAATGGAACAATGAGCGAGACATTCTTCACTACTCGAAGGTGAACTCTGTCGATCTCCGAACTGCACGAGCAGCTATACAGAAATTCAACAAAGAATTCAACAGTCGCCTCGCACTCTACCAAAGTCCCCTTCACAAAAGCAGGCTGTTACACCCGCCAACGACCCCATAACGGAGAAAATGGACTGCGATACTCACCAAGCACATCCGCCTTCTCAGGAGAACATTTGCAATCTCAAGCCTCCAACAACGAATGTCACAAATCCAAAGCCATCTTCGTTACCGACTCCAGATGTGGACTGGCTGTCCATTATCAAAACCGCTGCACAGATGGCATGCTCTTTTCTCACACCCCTACAAACACCATAGGCATGTGGTCTACAATGGGTGGTCCAAGTCGCCATTGACCAGTTCGACCGCAATTTCACCAAACAACAGTGAGCCGCGACGGAAAATGTCAAAAGCCCCAAAGTAGAAAACCTAAACTACCCACTGTGCTCCAATGCAACGTACGTGACCTTAGATCTCGTCTTCCTGACCTACGCCAGTACCTTCTGGCAAACAAAATATCCATTCTGGCCCTTCAAGAGCCACGTATTCTTCTTGGAGACTGCAGACTTGCGCCATATGTGATATGCCTAAGTGCATCAAAAAGAAACGACGGCCAGTCTCGGGCGGCAATATTTGTCCGGGCAAGAATTTATCAAGAACCCCTAGACCTATCCTCAATCACAAAAGGAGCAGCGGAATACGTCGGTGTGACAGTTCGCTCTAGAGGAGAACTCTTCTCTATCATTAGTGTCTACTTTCCTCCAAACGTCTGCTGGGATCCCGAAAAGCTACGAGAGATAAAAAATGTCTCTACGAGGCACCTTGTTGCCTGTGGAAATTTTAATGCCCATAACGAGCTATGGGGAGACAGGCAGACTACACGACGAGGAATTCAGCTGGAGATTGTAGCATCGTCCTTACAGCTTCAAGCGCTGAATGACGGAACTTAAACTTTTGTAAGACCGGGAGTTAAGCAGAGTGTCTTGGATCTCTGTTTTGTTACACCGTATATAACAGCAGAGCGGAATGTTCACCCCGACACATGGGGAAACGACTATGTTCCCATAATAATCACTTCACCAAGACCTCCGACGCCAATGTACAAAGAGGTACGCGTCACCAATTGGGATGCATTTAGGGCTCAGATGGAAGGATATGCGATTAACCTTGCAGGAGACCCATCCTCTGCAATCACTCACGCTGTATCTCTGGCTACGAAAACGATCCGTGTTTTTATCACCCGTCCTAGTCCCGACCTCACGTACCTCAAACTGCGGGCGGCCCGGAGGAGAGCCCAGCGGCGAGCTCGCAGAACGAGTGATCCCGCAGATTGGATAAGTCACCGACAACTTGATGCGGCTTTCCGCCGGCGCACATCCCGGCTCCAACGGCACCAATGGGACCAACTTCGCTCTTCCCTTGGATTAGCGTCAGGTATCTCACGTGCATGGAAGATGGCCCAGACACTATCTTCGAGAAAAATGCCAACTCATCCAATCGCAGGTCTAGCAACTGCTATTGGCCATACAATGCTGGAGACGGCTGAACTACTTGCTAAGGCCTTCGCGACACCCATTCCACTACCTGCAGGTTACCAGAGTGGTAAGGAATCCAGTGCGAATAGTAGAAGCTCGCCTCCCCTTGCTCTCGATTCAGACTTCACGATCTCAGAGCTTGAATTCGCATTGCGTCGGTGTCGACGGAAAAGTGCTCCAGGACCTGATGGGGTAACTTATCAGGCACTACGAAATCTTGACAGATCACAGTACTCGGCCATACTAGAGGCATTTAATGCTATATGGCGCACAGCCATATAGCATTATATGGCTGTGCGCCATATAGCATTTAACGTATAGCTTTTAACGTGGTTTTAGGCATTTTCCTCCCTCCAATTCTGCAACTAACTATTTGAATATCTTAATATGCCGCCACTATCAAAATCAACCTTCCCCTTCTCCTCCCTCTTCTTTCACTCCTCTCTCCCCAGCCCATGCGAGTCTTTCCCCCGTTATGGGTGGATAATATTTAAGCACGGGCTTTTCCCATTTTCACGATTGTCATTACAACAACAACAACAACAACAAAAGTGGGTGGAGAGGTAGGGATGCTTGCAGACGATCAACGCTTCGTCAGCTTCTCGCAGCTCGTATTGCTAACGTGGCCCATAAACCTCGTGGCGCCGATCTGGCAGTTCGAAGCACACTGCGGCGCTGCCACGTTCCCAATGCTTTTGCTTTTCGCGCGATGTTTACCGCATCTCACAGTGTACCAGGTTCGGTGAACTTCTCATCTACACGCCCACCGCAGAAGATGACATCCACAAATACGACATCCACAGATAACTCACGCGCTTACCGTGCACGACAGAAGGCTGCGAGGTCAGTCGTTGGTATACGGAGCCTTCGAGGAGTGCTCCAGGTCCTCAAACGAGTGGGCGAAGCTCTACAGAAACGCTAGAACCTTACGGCGGCAGAGGGTTCCTCTTCAAGCACCACATTCCGTCGTCCACACGATATTCCCCGGCCGTCTACTTCTGCCGGGTTTTCACACTCCGCCGCCAACCTCCAACAGACAGCCAACAATCGCGCGCCCACTTCACCTGGGCAAGTGCCACTTTGCGCGGATAGAAATATAGTTGGAACAACTCTGCTCGTGGGCTCCAGCGGGACCGCGTCCAGCAAGTTTTTGTACAGGTCTAGAGTCTCAGTTAGATGTCACAAGGGCGAGTCATAAACGCGAGGGATATGGAAGTACCAATTGACACTTTGCTTTCTTTGATTTTTGGTGGTGTCTATCTATTAACAATATGAACATCACTATTTCTTAGATATTTGTCACCTCCCGTCATGCTTCAGACGTGTCAGAAGCATACAATTGATATCAGGAAAATCTTTGTGTGGTTTACTCAGTTTAATGTCGTTAAACAATACAGTAATGAGCACTCCGAAAGGTATACCTGCACCCACAAGTGACGTGTAGCATCTTCGTTCAATGTAAAAATATATTTTTTTGTAGCTAATGGCAGAAACTGCAACTTTTGTTAAGCTTGCTGCATTAACGAAATGTAACTGCACTAGAAAACAATTAACGAGAGCTGCATTCAGCAAGGCAGGGACTGAGGTACCCGGAAAAGGGTGAAAGAAGCAGAAGCACAATTAAAGGGGCGATGCAACAATTTTTGTGCTCTGCGCAAATACCTCTTAGAACGGATCCCTGACGTTAATGACCTATGAAACACGCGTTCGTTTTTCACCCCAAGCAATAGAAGTCCCAGAAAAAAAAATATAAAAGCGAGCAGCGTTCACCCCCTCAACTCACAGCCAGAACAAGCGGCCACGTGATCTGGAGCCGATTATATGCCGCCAACGTTGATCATAGTCACGCGCTGGGGCTGGCAAGGCACAGCTAGGACACGCGCTGAGTTCCAGACATTGTTATGGCTCGGTCACTGTCGTCGTTGCAGCGAGTGGACACGAGCCACTACCCGAATGCATGTCGAGGTAGTAATTATCACGAACCCAAATCGAGTGCCCACGCAATGCTCGGGTCCAATCTATGAACCGTATTCAAATATCGTCATTGGAGTGTACTGCGATCCCCACGTTACGTCATCAAGTTTTGCAAAGGAGAGATTGAATGAAAAGGATCGCTTTTGTCCTTGAAATTACACCGCAACAAAGGAGTTTCTTGGCCAGTAGCGTTGCGCGTGAGTAACCTTGAGTCCCACTAGTGTCAGTAAGCTCGTGTAAAGTGAAAAACATTTCAAATGAATATCGTTGCACCGCTCCTTTAAGAGGGCTAAAAAGCTCATATTTAAAAACTAGATATTTCTAAAACCTGCGCAAAATAGTCTTGAACTACAGTGTGTTGCTTTGATTGCAGTTTTGAGCCGGACGAAGGCAGTTCGTGAGCAGACATCTGCATTTCTGAGGCTCTAAATTTCTCTCCCGTGGCTCCATTGACCTGGTGTCAACGAGAAGGATAACTTGTCTCCCATCTTATCAGGTCTTAACCCGAAGGCTCTTTATTTTGCATAAAGATACTTGTTTTGCAATGTAGTTTATTGATAACGTGGCAAAGTATATATAAACTTAGCTTACCTGTTCATTAGGCTTCGAATACCTTGTTTTGCCAGCGGAAGGCCAGGTTAACCGGTTGAAATGTTCTTGAGAAAAATGAACTCAGTAAAACTTTAATATTCAATTCTATTCTACCCGACGTTTATGAAGTTGCAAAAGACAATTCTTTCTTATTTCTGTACCAAAATATTCCAGCAGCGACGTTTCTCAAAACTGAGACGACGTTTCCTTGGCAGCCCACGTCCATTTTCTACGTAGAAAAGGATACTTGCGGTACTTCTGCGACGCCATGTACTGCTTGATGTTGGGTAACTCTTCAAACTTGTTAAGGTACTTGAGTAGAGTTGAAAAACGCTGGAAAGTATCAGGTCCGAAGTCGCGAATCCAGTCCAGGGATTCGTAGAGTATAAAGTCCACGTAGGTGAGCCTTCCGCCCAGGGCCCACGTTCGTCCGTGGAGCAACTCAGCCCAGGGTTCGAGTTCGTTGTTCAAGCTTGCTTCGTAATTCTTTCGGGCCTCCTCCAAATTCGGTTCAAACGCGGTCCGGGCCAATTTCATAAACAGGTCTAGAGACTGCTGCTCCAAGAGGTCTAGTTGAGTGACTTCCTCTTCAGTTCTAGTGATGGAAAATAGAAGAGAGTAGCAGCATCGTAGTGCTTACTTTCAAACTGCGACTTTCGTCAAAGGATCTAAAACCCGCGTTTCAGAGCAATCCGAAAAGTCTTCTCACAGCAAAACTTTTTTTTTTCGAACGCTCAGCCTTCACCAGGATGAAGCGCTAAGTGTTGGAATCAGATGCCAAAATTTCAAATGCATAAATTAGTGGCTAGTTTAAAAAACCTTTTATGGAGACACTACCAGGTGTTTATCTCATGTATTGTTGGCCTACGTCGGCCATCATTTTCTTTTTTTATCGCTTTTACTATGTCCTGGAACTTCGCCATATCATTTCATGCTGCTTGAACAACATTGAAGGAGGAAGATAGAAGGAAGAGGAGATAGGAGAAGGAAGAGCAGGAGGAGGACGAGGAGGGGGAGTAGGGAGGAGGAGGAGAGGGCGAAAGGAGAAGGAGTAGAGAAGAGAAAAGGAGGGTAGGACGAGGAGCAGAGCAGGGCGAGAGGTGGAGAGAAGGAGGAGAGGTCACTGAGGAGGAGTAGGAGGGGCATACCATTTCCTTCGTACCCTTCCATCCTCCTCCGCAAGAGCTGCGCTCTAATTTCGCGTTACAGAGGTTTGTAAAGGTATTTAATTTTTTAGAGCGCAGCTCTTAGGCGCCGGTTTCCAGCTTCAGCGGCGTCGCCTTCGCCATCGCCATTGCCGTCGCTGTCGGCATAATTCCGCGAGTTGCATTATGGAAAAATGTTCCCGCTAAATTTAGCGGAAAAGTTTCCTCGCTAGATTTGGAGCTAAATTTTCACCGCTATATCTAGCGAAAAAGCTTCTTCGCTAAAATTGGCGAAACGAATTCCCCGCAAAATTTAGCAAAAAGATTTCCCGTCTAAATTTAGAGGGAGCGTTTTCCCGCTAAATTTAGCAGAAAATTTCCCGGTACATTCAGCGGAAAAATTTCCCCGCTATATTTAGCTGAAACATTTTCCCTCCAAGATAAGCTGAAAAATTTCCACGCTAAAGTTAGCGGAACAATTTCCTCGCTAAAATTAGTGGAAACAATTCTCTGCTAGATGTAGCGGAAAAATTAAACCTCCAAATGTATCGCAAAAAAATCACCGCTAAATTTAGCGAAAAAGTTTTCCCGCTATGCTTACCGGAAAAAAATTTAGTGGAAACAATTTTCTGTTGATGAATTATGCGGAAACTATTTCCCGCTAAAGTTCGAGGAAAATTTCGCAAAAATGTCCATGCTAAATGGAGAGGAAGCAGAAGAGGAGGAGGGGAGGGGGAGGGGGATCATACCCTTTCTTCTGTACCGTCCTCTCCTCCTCCTCAAGAACTGCGCTCTAATCCGGTATTGCAGAGAATTAGAAGCGTCTTTAATTTTTTATCGCTTTTTATTAACTCCTGGAACTTCGACATCTCATCCCAACTGCTTGAACAACATTCTTGGAGGAGAATGAAAGGAGGAGGAGAAAACGATGAGAAGGATGGGAGGAGGAGGAGGAGAGAAGAGGATGGGATGGGGAAGAGGAGGAGAGCGTAAGGAAGAGAGGGAAGTGTATACCCTCCCCATCGTACCCTCCCCTCCTCCCCCTCAGGAGCTTCGCTTTAAATTAACGGCACAGAGATTTGTAAAGTCTTTCACTTTTTATCGCTTTTATTAAGTCCTGAAACTTATACATTTTATCCCAGCTTGCACAACATTTCGGCGGAAGCTGAGCTTTATAAAAGGAGTAGTTTATTTTTGCGGTGAGAAAAATGATGTTCAGATTCCTCTGAAACACCGGATACTAAGATATTTCGAAACAACGACATAACGCTATCAGCTAGAGCAAACTTTCAGCATGAAGTGTCCGCTGTGCGTTATGGCTCTGCGTGATACGGTCCAGCGTGTGCTTGCGGCGATCTTGCACCGTGTTTACTTTAGGGCATAGCAATTGTTGTTCTAGATCTGTGGTTCTCAAATGGGAGTCCGCGGATCTTTTCGGGTCCGCGAAGCCCTGCCTCAGTTAAGCCCGTAATATAAGTTGCATTTATTTTTACAGCGCAGCTGTTAAGGGCTAGGTTCCCCAGGATCGTGTCCGGTATGCCGACACAAACCTACCAAAGCAGCTACCGCCACCTATAAGCAGTGGCCGCAAGCTCGCAACCAGTATGATTGCCGCCGTCGCTGGTAGACGGCACCAAGCTTTCCAGCTATCATAGAAGAATGGATAGTTGGGTGGCGCGTTGGTGGGAATTTATTGTGGGAAACAGCGCGACAAACAGGCGACGACGAAGAAGCAGCACACGTAACGAGCGCAGCACTCGTCACGTGTGTTTCTTCGTCCTCGTCTGTTTTTCGCGCTGTTTCCTACGCTCTTATCAGTTTCGGTTTGGACTCAGGATGGGTCAGCCGCGTGCCCTTTCCGGGAAGAAGACTGGCTGCGGAAGAAGCGGCGACGTACGCAGCAGCGCGATTGGGTCCGTAACCGCCGCAAAGCCGCTGTCGCCTCCACTTCCACTGCGTCGAGCGCTTCAGATTCCCTTGCCAAAGAAGAGCACATCGCTCGCCTGGAAAGCCGCCGCCGAGAACAGAACCAGCGATGTTAAGGGCGCTGGCGGGCCAACGCCACGGACGACGTTCATGCCACGGACGCCAAGCGCAAGCGCGAGGCTCAGCGACGACTGCACTCCACGCCGGCTGAACAGTTCCCGGGCGCGACGCGACGTTCCGAACCCTGGGTCGCCGGAGACGTATCCACGATCGGCGGCGTGTCGGACGAGAAGCGGGAAATGGGCGCGTGCGCGTAGCGGCAGTGCATCGAGTACAGCTCCGCTGGTCTTCCTTCTTCACGAGAGTGGAAAGGCTGAACTTTTTTAGACTGAGATCAGGGATGGGCAAAATACATGCAAATATGTATCGAAATACAAATACAAAATACTTGGTCAAAAATGTATTTAATTACAAATCTAAATACATTTCCAGAAAAGCATTTAAGTACAAGATACAAATACAACCAACTGTATTTGGTCTCCTTCAAATACTTTTCCAAATACATTCCTCAGAATTTGCATCAGCGACTTCAGGGCACCTGCAACGGGTTTCTGGATATCTCATTTTAATTTTGCATCGCACGCTCGGGGGTTAGTGTGCGAGACTCCAGTAACGTAATAGAAATATAGTCACAAAAAATTTATATAATCAGCTTGGACGCAATAGGTGAAAAAAGTAGAGCTTCAAGCAGCTTTTTTTGTCCATTACATTTTGGTATAGACCAACAAAGAACCGAGACGACCAAGACGCGCAGCACTAGCTGGAAAATTTTTCATTGTTGCAACTCGCATCAGTTACGAAAATCTGGACGACCCGTGCATTTAGAATGTTCCAGGCAAAAATATGGATGGGAATCAGGCTAGAAAGCATCCCAAGTTGTCACAGGCACTTATTTAGCCGGTCTGCCTGTGAACGTCGATTTCATCACTATTCTTGCCCTGGACTAGCACCGTAATCACAAAGTCACTAAACGCTTGTGCTTGATTGAGACACTGCATTCGGTGCAAAAAGTAGTTTTCTTCCTGCTCTGGACAGTGCCTTTAAAATAAAGCCGGAGGAAAAAAAAAAAAAGAAAAAAAAGCCCCATGGCCGAATAAAGGATGGACACTATATCTTACAACCACATGCATAAAAACAAGAATTGTAATTAAAAGGATAAAACAGCGCAAAAAAACGACGGACAGTGTAAAGAAGGACACAGACAGAGTGCTGACTCGCAACTAAATTTTTATTGAACCCAACGGTGCAATATGTACGCATAATTGCTGTGACTGTGTCCTTCTTTACCCTGTCCGTCGTTTTTTGTGCTATTTTAGCCTTTTAAATATTTCATACCAACTCGCCCAAGCTTCAACTTTAGCGAGAATTGTAACTTTGGTAATAATATTTATTTATCGTAGTAGAGGCAAGTGCCGCGGGCGCCCGGCGTGCCCGGGCGCCCGCGATGAGAGAGACGCGAACTGCCGCAGGACTGGTGTATGAAGTGGTGAAGAGATTCTTGGTTTGTCGTTGCCGTTGGCATTGAGATGAAGAAAGAGCAGCTTTGGGCACCTCTTCGGATGAGCAAAATGAGTCGTTACAATAAATTTGAGGGATGTATTTTCGCCCACAAAATTGTATTTAAATACACTTGTATTTGAAATACCCATGTTTTAGTATTTAAATACACACGTCAAATACATTACCCAATTTGTAATTAAATACAAATGCAAAATACACAAAGTATTTGAAATACGTATTTCAAATACTTGTATTTGAAATACTGCCCATCCCTGACTGAGATGAAACGTCAAAATTTTCGGGTGAGTTTTCTGGTCTGTATGTCAATTAGAAACGTCTACTTCAAACTAGCCTTTCGTTGTATTCATTTATTAAATCATTATTATAATTAACCTATACCTTTCCCTTCCCCTCGCCACGAACGGGGTCCTCCATCATCTCCGCCGATCCACAAGGGGTCCGCGAAACATCAATAGATGAGAACCACTGCTCCAGGTGAACGACTTTTTTTGTAAAAGACACAGATCAGAAATTTTCATACGTGAGTTGCCCTTACTCCGTTCATGGAGCCGGTGTAACTGTGCTCGAGACGAGCCAGAGCGCTGGGATCCCGCGGTCACGATAATGCAATCGAATGCACAAACGAATGCTGTTACTCGCGCAAAAGAAAGCGAGCCCAGACCTCCAACACCGCAAAACGGAACGTTTGGCGTTTTCATTTGTTTGTGCTGTTTTGATGGTCATTTTCTTGAAGCTTTCATCCGTTTTCCATGGGAATATCTGACAAAAGCTTAATGGTCGCTTTAATATTCCTATTGCACAAGTAGGGGCATTGATACAAGGTCCGAAAAAACAACCGAGTCGGGGACAAATTTTGCTCATCTAAGTGATAGCGCTAATCGTTGGTTCTCTACTGAAAAAAAGTGACGTTGAACTAACTAAAGGTCACAGCAATGTCAGCTTGGATCGTCACAGTTTCAAGTTGTCCACCATTGTTCCCCTCCCAGCCCATTCAATATTGCAGCCCGTTGGTGGTGATTATTTGCGTGGATTATTTCTTCATCTTCTCAAACAATGGAGGAAATCAAGACCTGGACAAATAGCTGTCGGAACGCCCATTCTTTTGTCAAGCTGACTTGCAAGGGGCTTGTTTGGTTGGTTGCTTCAGAGACGAAGCCAAAGTCCCTAACACTTTCAAACCATCTGCATATATCGAGCCTGCTTCTATCCTCTGAATGTATTCGTTAATTTCACTCACCAATGGACCTTTTCCAAATACCGACGGCACCAGGCGGTGGCTGCACGAACTAAAAATCAAGGAAGTGACCTACCTGCGCTACCATCGATAATGGGAGCTACGTTACCAGTTGCTTCGCTCTCTGAGCAGCGTCGCGTGCCCAACGCAACGAGGTAGGCCTAGCGCGACTTTAAAGAAGGAAATCCGTAGCGTCCACCCAAACGTCGTGTTTTTCTTTCCGTCCACTTTCTTTTTTTGTGTAACACAATTATATATATGCTGCAATTACGTGTTCTACTCGTCGATTTACAGCCTCATTCCGAATTTCCTCGATTTTTTCGTGCCGACTTCCACAGCTTGGCATCGGGCGCTCGCGCGTGCGCAGAACGCTTCTCGGAAAAGGTCCATTCTTCTAAAGACGACCAAGCACTTCGTTTTACTTTTCAATAAAATTACTCATGCACAAAGAAAGCTTTTCGGAAATTAAAAGAATACATATTCCCCGTGACGCTTTCACTGCTAATTTATTTCTCTAAATATGCCTTTGAGAGAAAACCACGGTTGTTTGATTTAAATGATAAACATGGACAGTCTCTAATTTCACCGCTACAGCAAAAACCGACTCGGCTTGACAGTCACAGCCGGTGCAAAGCTGCGAACAGAAAGCAGCCGTAGAATTCACCGAGCATCTGCTCCAACCGTCCCCGCAATCATCACCAGAAAGCGATACTACATATGTGGAAGTATACACTTCATAAAATGGAGGTGTGTTTACTTTCCCGTAAAGTTCTCAACGATCCAATTATTTGCGATATACGGAGGGTGTCCAACAAAGGTCGAGTCCGAAGGTTTTTCTGAAGCCAATGTTGAAGTCTGCGGTACGACACTGCGCATGACGTGACCACGTGAAAAGCGATCTTCAGTGTCCCATCGGTCTTTATTTTTAGCTTTATACATATTTACCGCCTCGTCATCCGCTGAACTCCTACATAGATTGCAGTGATTGGCTATGCGGGATCCCTAGACAAGGGGAATGTGAACGCACAGTCATGTTTTAAAGGTAAATACATCCGAAGTGCACGTCTGCACGTATACGCATTTGTAGTGTCGTGAATTATGTAAGCCAAAACGATCGAGCGACGACCAAAATATACCGGTGGCGCTGCCTCGACGCGAGAAGCCAAAGCATCAAAGAGAGGTGGCCATTGAACGCAGCCTGTTCCTTTTTTGTGTTTGATGAGCACTTCAGTGCGACTCGACTTTCATTTCATTCATTGTCATTCCTAACCAGGTGGATGTCCACCGAAAGGTTTACGTTCGACTCAACTTTATTCTTTGTTACTCCCTACCCGGGCTAGTCGCCGCCTTCGTAGGTTGGCCGTGCGGTCCCTGTGTCACTCAAATCATTTTCCTACGTACGAACAGGCAAAAATTGTGATAACTAAAAAACCTCCCGGCAGAAGCATGGGCTCGGCAATAGCGCGCAGTATGCAGCATAATCATGATGAGTGCGATAGTATGCCACCCTCGTACGCATACCTTTTGTCGATAGTTCAACTTCTCGCGTCGGGGCAGTGCCACCAGACTCTTTCTGTTGTAGCTCGGTTGTTTCGGCTTAGTTAATTTCCAATAATACATGTGGGTTTGTGACACCCAACCATCGTGAAAAGGAAATAAAGATTAGGAACCTTTAGCAGACCGTTGCCGTGCTCCGCGCACCGAACTACCGGAGCCTCTTTGAAGCATGCTTCTAAGCGCGCGCCCGGGTGGTACCGTGACCGCGGGGGGCGCGCTTAAAAGCATGCTTCAAAGGCTCCGGTAGTGCGGCACGCGGAGCACGGCAACGGTCTGCTAAAGGTCCCTATCATCTTGCATCCTCCTGTACGGATTACCGGCTAGACCTTCGTTGTCCGCGTTTCTTAGAGACACAGTAAATAAGATAAGTTACGCGATGAGCCCATCGTATTTTAAAATTTTCGTATATCTTTAGTGGTTGGTATTCCGTCCGTCTCCCCACAACAATGCATCGGTACAACGAGTTTATGCAGTAGCATGCAGGATTAGTGCGATAAACAAAACTAACTAAATGTTTAACATAGCCGGAAGAGACACAGCCCGGGCCGGGCCCAAGCTGTGTCTCTTCCGGGCCGGTCGGGACGGGCCTAGAAATGAAATATTCTGTTGGGCTCGGGCCGGGCCCGGGCCGTGCCTCTACCGGGCCGGGTCGGGCCGGGCCTAGAAATTCCGGCCCGTGCAGAACTCTACACGAGAGAGCTCGTGCTAAAAAGCCTAGATTGAAGAGAGAATCGAACTCAAACCTTGGGGAGCGTTTGCAATTTAATGGTGGGCGCCTCCTCCAAAGATTGGTCGGAATTGCGCATTTCAGCTTGTTGCGGGTAGGGGGTTCACCAATGATAGCGTGATGAACCAGCCTTGTCTACTAGGTGATGTGGCTTGCGCTCTGCTGGCCCTGACCTCTAGCGGGGTTGTCGTGCAAGCAGTAACGCCTGAGTTCCTACGATGTACGTCGCTGCAACGAAACTGGCTGGCGAGATCGGCCTATTGGCAAGATTATTCGGGTCTTACATTCCAGGTCTTAAGTAACCTTACCTGCCAGCTAGGTCATGCTTCCTGCTGAGGTAGCGCATGATGGCGAGGCTCTGAGTCAGCTTCAAGTCTCCGTCAATGTAGTACGGCAAGTTGGGAAACTTTAGACCCAGAGAGAACTTATCGGCTTCCCACTCGGTGCCGGTATAGTACGGTGGTGGGCCGTACGAATATCGCTTGTCCACGAAAGCGACGTTCTTGTAGACCAGCAGGTTGCGGATCATTTGGGCCCTGCCCCGGGTGTCCCAGTAGCCCAGCACGGGTGCCATGCTTGTCTTTCTGGAAGTGTCTTCCTGAGAAAAGGAAGTCACGTTTCTTCACTCGTGTTGGTGGTTCGTTGACGAAATAAACGACTCCAAATCCCCTTGTCCCTCCTCCGATTGTGGTTTATTGGCAATCACTGCGCTTTCTAGAGCCGGGGTCACACAGCTTATACATCATACAAAAGACAGTCTGCAAACAAATTTGAACGCAAATCACCAGGCGGCGTCCGTGCTTCGGATGCCACATAGCAACGATTTCAGAAAGAAACTTGGAACGCAGCATCCGAACGACGAGTATCACGGTGACTGATGTATGGAGACTGTATGTTTAATGTGTATAAGCAGTGTAATTCCGGCGTAAACCAGAAGGAGCAAAGGAAGTAAGATAGCAAACTTTTGTGTCGTGAAGTGGGCCAACAAATTGGTCTTATCTAATGGGGCTTCTTTACCGGAAACATCTGAAAGAAATGAGTTATTCTACACGTAACTGCGTTCGTGTAAGTCATCCAGATGTTGATATTTCGACAGTCTGCTCAAAGAGTGCTCTATTGAACAAGCTGGTTTGATTAACAGTCCTCTTTGTATATTTATGTGCTTGCTTCCAAAATGAAAGCAGCGCAATTCTTGGCATTTTTGGGCTCCAATAAAATTGTGATCTGCATAATAAAACCGTATACAGTCATGTCTTGTTAACATGGATCCCGTTAATATGAATACCCCACTATATGGACACCACTAGCGGGGAAAAACTGGGAAAATGCATGCATTTTTGTCTCGTTATCGTGGACGACTCACATCACGGACAATTTTTTACGGGAACGGAGGTGTCCATATTAACGAGACATCACTGTACACGCACTATTCTGACCAGAAGGAACCTCCGTTCCTTGAATCTGTCATAATTAAAATCTATTTATTACAATGTATTTATTATAGCATCCGAAAACTTAATTTGAATCCACTGACCCTGAACATGACTCGCAGTAATTTTACACAAGTATCACAAGTGCTTTCCAAGCCTCTATACGTTCGAATTGCAGGGATAGTTAAAATATTGATATACAAAGCACGCCAAACGAGAAAGAAACACTAGGTTTCATATTAAGTCATGCAAAGTGAAGTCAATGGCTGCTTAGGCGAAATTAGCAGATGTAATACACTGCTAAAATTCGTATCATTGGAGCAGGGGCAGTTTCAGTTTACAGTTTAACGACTCCAGCATCTCCCCCCAAAACAAAGGTACGGTGCTTTATTTTTATAATTGTTTAGCTTCGCATTGCCGAGTTTCCGCTGAAATGCAGTAGGCCGTGCTTGATGGCAAAGTTTTGGGACTACCCGTTATCCAACGTTACTAAAACACTCAGTTGGGAAACTCACCCTTAAAACCTGAACCGCTGGGGTCCATCCAAACTAAACTAAATACGATAAAAGCGCCACCCTTTAGCTGCAAGTCAAGCATAAAATTCGCTTTACCTAGCTACTGCGAGATGGCCTGCGATATGGCGCCGCCTGTGCCACCGGCCCTCGCGCGACTCGAAATGAAGCAATACGTGGAGCATACATGGGTGAATTACTTCCAAAATGTAATTTAAGTACAATTACAATTACTTTGCTTCAAAAGCAGTTTAACTACAAACACAATTACTACTACATGAAAAGTAATTACAATTACAAATTACTTTTAAAAAGTCATGCAATTACTTTACAATTACTTTTGAGAGCGACCCGACTTGGGCCATATAACTTTAAACGAGTTGTGTAGAATGCAACCTATTTATTTGTTCATTCGTTGCCCCAATGTATGAGGAGGCTTAAGCATCGCTCCATAAATGCCACGTATTGTACTTTTTTTATGAATTTTGTTAAATTTATGATAGAACTTAACAGTTTGGGGCGATGAAGTACTACGTTCTTATATTTTTAATAAATAATAATAAATTACTCCATTTGCTGGAAGACGCCAGATCGCTAAAGAAAAAAATGGGTGGACAGACAGACTTCTGTTTGCCAGGCAAATAAAAATGCGACAATTAGTCACGTATGAATATTTTACAAGTGTTCAAATAAAACTAAAACCCACACGCGCTAATATCACCTTAATCGCATACGAATATCATGGTATTGTAAATTATTTACACTGAGTTGAAATTAGAATCGCTCAAAAATACATAAAAAACGAATCGGGGCTCCGGAATCATTGGTGACAATATTCGCAGGTGCAAAGTCAGTCTCCAAAATGATTATGCAAATAACATCCGAAGTAAAACCAACTCGAAATAAACTTTAAAATAATACAAAAATACAAATATGCGACAGTACTGGAAGAGCGACGTAAAAAATTGGCAAAAAGGAAAGAAAAATAACTTCATAGACAATGAAAATTCCCGATTTTGGCAAAAAACTGAAGCTCATTTTTTTTTCTTTCTTACATTTTGGCATGTTTACGCTACTCTTTGCTGCTCGCTCCGCAGACGGCGCTACACGGCGCCGTTGTGATAGCCTCCAAAGACTGTTGTCTCTCAGCCCTCAGGGTAAGCAGTAAAACAACAAACAATGCGACGCTATTTATGTTGTGCGTGTGTGTGAATGCGTGTCTGTGTGCGAGTGTTTCACCGAGAGCTAGGCCGCTTGTGCTGGCTTTCAGAGAGGTTCCGTCGGCGCCGCGAAGTTTTGCAAAAGTAATTGTAATTGTGCCTGAGATTTCGCAATTACTGACGCTAGAATGTAAATAATAGCATCCTCGATCATCCGCACCGGTGCGCACCGGTGCTCGGCGGTGCGCCCCGTTGTTTTCGATCAAGTGCACCGGTGCGCACCGGACGTCCTCGATAAACGGAGCGCACCCTCCCGGTGCAGCTGTTCGTTGCCCCAACGCGCACCGAGAAAATCGACGGTGCGCCGGGGTGCAGCCCCATCAGGCATTGCGGCCAGGAGCGGGAATCGAGAAGATGGCGGGGAATAGCAGACGCGCAGTCTATCAAGGTGGCGACCTTGCAAAATCGAACATGCTTCGCATCTGCACTCGATGAATTCCTCAGCTTTTCTGAGAGCGAAACGGCGAGCTTCTTATCATTGCCGAGGTTACCGGCGATTGCTGCGGTGGCAAGGAGCGCTCGAAAGGTATGAACTTCGTGGAAAGCGTTGCGAGGTGTTTCGATGACACCGAGGTACGGCCATTATGTGGTGGTTCTCTTTCTCGAACCAGCTATGATGGGCAGCATATATCTGTGGAATTGTCACCCGCTTCGTGACCCCATCGACAATCACGTCCACGATGTTCATTCGCGTGGGACCGCCAAATCCGCGAGTAAAAAAAACACGAGAAATTGACAGCAGACGGGCACCGCGCGCGGACCTACGCAAAAAAAAAAAAAACGAATAAAATGCGAGGTGACGCATGGTGGAGCTCGCCGCAGTGCACCACAGCGGCGCAGTTTGTCCTCGATATCGCACCGACTTCGTGCTGCACGACCGAGGAGCGCTGTGCACTGCCCAGGTTTCAGGGCGATTCCGGTGCGAGTTGATCGAAGATGCTATAAATTACAATTACAATTCCTTTTAGCCGAAAGTAATTAATTACAATTATAAATTACCAAGAAAAGTAATTAAATTAAAGTAATTCAATCACTGCAATTGAATTACGACCCAAGTATGACGTGGAGCATGGCCTCTGAGATCCCGAAGGCTTCGCGCGCGCGCTTCGGGATCTTGGAGGCCATGCGTGCAGCCTTGCAGTTCCAGGAGTGGGCGCTGGGGGAGAAATGACGGCGTTGCGGTCGCATTTAGTTTGGCTCTCTATTACGGCTCGGAGCCACTTTTTCAAACCAGGTTCCTATTGCAGTTTCCACACTGAGCATTCTAGTAACGTTGCCGTTATCTTGTTCGAAAGTTAAGATTTTCTGAACATCACTTGTTCGTAACATGTTTCTGAACATCAGACGAAGAGACGTAAAACTACCTTCCCCGATATCCACGCGTCCTCCAGTGTTCTGCCATTCTGGGAGCGCGAGTTCGACTCAAAACGTCTAAAAGGACTCACTGCTTTTTCGACGTAAGCCTGCCAAATCATTTCAAATATCTCTGTTTTAGACTTTCCAATTTGACGCACCAATGATGCTTACTCTTCGCTCTGGTTTGCAGACAATTCTGAAAACACTAATGTGCTCGTTTACGTGACTCCAAACACCCGAGTGGCGCAGCTACAAACGTTCAAGGAACGGCGTCCTTGGGCATGGTGGCGCGTGAAGGCTTTCGATAGCCGCGCACCATCACCACCGTGTCGCCGTCTCGTTTTAGGCTACAAAAGTAGCCCCGAAACTTTTTTCATCTTACCTGGTATTTCTGTCAGTGTATACTTTGGGGATGCTACCATTGTTTTTGAATGCGAGCTTGAACACCAGTGCGCAGACGACGAACAGGCTGATGTAAGAGAATAAGAAATGCACGGCCGCCATTTTTGCTTTATTTTTAATATTTCACCACATTTGTGCTTAGCTCTAAAAATTAAGCTCGGGAAACAACTTGTTTGAAATTCAAATTATTCAAGGCGTAACAAATGTAAAACAAATGTGCTGGTGCTTACGGCCGCTCCCTATATTATTGGGCACGAATGATTTGCGAACAGCGAAACGTATGTCCTTCGACACATGCTATGCCACCTGGAGTTCTTTTGAAGTGCTAAAACTGAGAGGGTTTGAGCTTCGACCACACTGCCACTGACGGGCTCAGGCCACACACTATCTGTCAGTGTTGCTCGCTTCATCATTTTTCTGACACGCTGTGATAGCAGCGTCACTCCACTCTTTCCCCTCGTAATTGTAAATGCCACACCAAAGTGTTTCTATTTGACGACATAGTCTTGCAAGTACTTGGCGCTTGGCGTGATCGCGTTGGGCGGCCTGCTAATGCCCCATTATCGCCAGGTGCTTCTATTGTAAAAGTGGCGACGTCCTCCTGGGCCGACGCTTCCAAAGGATCATTTTTCTGTAACTCTCTGCCAGAACTGTGTTGCGATGTCAGCTGTGAGA